TCTAAGCGCAGTGGTGGGGCCATGCCAATCCGAGAGCCGCTTACCTTCATGGTGGGGGGGGCCGTGCGAGGAGGGGACGGCGGGCGCTCTCCTACAGACGCATTGGAGATGGTCAACAGCTCCTGCTTCCTGCGAGACAAACACAAGACAGAAGCATTGGCAAGCGGGCCTGTGCACAGCTGGGGGTCCAGACCTGCTCCTGGAGAGCTTTCTGGTTTTCATTCCGGCCCAGATCCCAGACTGCTTCATCCATTGAAGGGCAGCAGTGAGCTGGAACGCACACACACAATTACAATGGGATACCTAATGCCAATTCACCTGCAAATCCGTAGACTGTCAGAGGAAACGAAACATTAAGGGAAAACCCATGCAAACATGACGAGAAAAGGCAAATTCCAGACTGAGCCAGATTCGAGGCCAAGACCCTTGAGCTTTAACGCGAAATTTATTTATTTTAAAGACATTGCACAACAAACACTCTCCTGGAGCATGAACTGTTCTCAGTCTTTGTTCCTAGGCTTTCACTCAAATCCCAGAACAACCTTGCCCGGAGATAAGGGAAACTGTACTGGCAGCTATCGCAGTGTGTTATCAGCACTGCGGCACTGAAGATCAAACGCACTTGTTACACCTGGCTGCACTCTCCCAACGCCCTGCGAGGCAGGAACGAGACGCCAGACCCGACGTGCCTCACTCCTCGGTGCTGTGCATGTTCGTGCTCCTTCCGAGAGCTCAGAAGCTTAACTTTAACGGGACCTGAGCATGGCACTGCACTGTCGACAGCAAGGCTGAAGGACAAAGCACACCAGCACCACAGGCTTTCCAGAATGCAAACATCCCTGGGAAAGCGCTGACAGAAGGACTAGGGTTTTCCGTCATCTTTTGGAAGCACAAGAACATTCACATACATCAATCGAAAGGATCAGAATTGCTTCTACCTGTGCCCAGCAGAACTCACCAGTACCTCTGCCAAAACACCGCCACCCACACACACAAATGCTCAGAGTTAGCAGCCATGCACAGAAAATAAAACTTTCGCGACACTGCTGTTGATTGGCAGCGACCCCTTCACACTGTACCTGATCTCTGGGACCGGGATGGAGAGAAGATGGCAGTAATAGCGGCACAGCATTGCAGTCGCCAATGGGCTCAGGGGTAGCTGGCACTGCTGGGCAGCGCCCTTCCCTCTGCAAGCTACAGCAAGGGAACCTGCAGCCCTGGCCTGTGAGCATGTGTGCATGGTCTCCTTCCCATCACTCCCCTCACTCATGCTCTCTGGGGTTGCCTAGAGACCACGGATAATGTTCCAGTTCCCATGACAACTCTTTCATGCTATATTTTATGGGACTATAACTGCACATGATGTACTAACGAGGTCCATCCTCACATCTGTGTGAGCTGTTGCACAACAGCTACTTAGGCCAGTTAGTTTTGCTCTTTGCACTTCTGGTTTGATTAAAGATGTTGCTGGATAAAGTGTTATAGTTTTATCTTGGCATTATATATGCTATTAAACAAATGAGTTATATTGCGTGAAGAACTATATGGTCACAAAGATTGTTGTCATTATTACAGTTTGTACATTTGTAACTGGAGAAGTGGTCTGGGCCTTTTTTTGAGGACAGAAGTCTGCTTTTCTAGCCCAAAGCAGGTAAGATACAGTACATGACCATAATTCCTGATTGAGGAATGAATCAGTTACCTGTTAAAAATGGGGAAAAAAGTCAACTCTCAGGGAGAACAAAATACAACTATCACTCAAAAGGAGGTTTTATCTACTAAAGTGTAATTTCAAGATAATTCTACAGATTAAAAACTGATGAACAGATTGGAAGCCAGTATGTACAGAAGGGTTCTGGGTGACATCGCTAGATCAATAAGGATCAGTGTTAGGACCATTGCTCTTCCTAATTTATATCACTGATCTAATGTTAAAATCCAAGGCAAGTGTTCCAAATCCTCAAGGGTCGAAGGTCAAAAACCAAGAGTGGTTCAGAAGACACAAATGGAAACTAACAGGAAACTGAGACCACAAAGTGTTGTGGGAATAGGGAACAAGTTACCCAGGCATGTTGTAGAAGCCGAAGGACTGACATTTCAAGAAGCCGCTGGTTAAGACCATCGTATCAATTAACTACTTATCACCCCATCAACCTAGATGGGCTGAATAACATCTATGAGCCCTGTACCCTTACTTGCTGTATGTTCTTACGATAAGGAATAGCATTAGAAAAGCATAAAAACCTGTGTCTATTCCCCAGCCTTGCAGATATAATGGAAAAGCACAAAAAGATTGTTATTTTGATTATCCCTGACAGACTGCAGGGTTCGCAACTGGACCTTGTGACACATCCACAAAGGCTTGGAGAACACAAACGTCCTTCTGCTTAACCATAAAGCTAGAGGGTGATGGGTTTCCCACAGGTGCACCACAGTATTCTCAAACACTCCAATGCTTGCTTCTTGTGAATCTCTCCAGGAGCTCCATTTTATCTTCTTTGATACAGCTGTTCTTTCATTCTGGTCTTTCCCAGGAAAAAGCCGCCAACATATATGAGTTCACTTGTTACTGTCTTCGACCCACTATGCTGCAGTTAGGCAGATGCGACCCTGGAAGTTGCAGGCGATGCTTCACGCGTCCTTCTTCCTAGCCGTTAGCAGAGTAATCCGGGCGCCGCGAAGCCCAGTTTCCACTGCACTCTCGTGCCAAATTCCTGTAATTGCTCCGGATCTCCACAAGGGGGCTGCTGCTTCTTACATTTCCAGGTTTGGCTGCTGCCTCGCAGGGCCTTGGTGCCAGGAGAGGAAACCGAAAACAATCCTTTTCCAAAGGCGGCCGTAGTGGTACTTCAAACATGTCACGGACAGGGTCTGCAGTCCGTGTCGGGTCTTGTTGTAGACCCTACGTGATGCAGTAAGAGCTGGAGGAAACAGGAGGCGCGGTATGGGAAAACACACAGGGGTTTACTGGTGCACAGAATAACAGTGACAGTCCGGGAGACAGTGAGCGGGGGAGACAAAGAGTGTCGTCCAAATCCGAGCAGGTCCGAAGGCAGGTCAGGGCACAGTCCAAGAGTCCATTAACCGTAGATCCATCCTGAGACGTGACGCCCCGGGAAGAGGGAAAACACAAACACATGGAGAACATGGAGATCCTGGGATAACGGGGCGAGGTCCTCCAGACCCCGGGCTCAGGAAACGGGAGGCGTCGGGGGTGAGGCCTGTGCCCTCAGGAGATGGACGTAGGGTATCCTGGTGCTTGGCGGGCCTTGTGGCATCCGTACCCTAATGCTGAGCCCCGAGGACTGGAGGAGCTGCTTTAAATAACGGCAGACAGAACAGGGTACACCTGGGGAACATCGCAACAATCGCGGGACTAACGACAGGAGTAGTGGAGCGCCCTCTAGGGGAGAAACATCTGGGAGGTCCTGGTGCTGGGGCTGATTGCTCAGAGGCGGAATCAAACCTCAAGAGAGCTGAGCGGTAGGAGGGCTGGCAGGAGCCCCACAGCAAGGGGTGATGAGAGGAGGTGGGGAGCCCAGCTCAGCTTACTCCCCCTTTCTCATGTAGGGCAGTGGGGTAAAACAAGTGGTAGTACATCAAGATACGGTAAATAAGGCAAATAATCTTCAAGGTTCAGGTGGGGAGCTGCGTCAGCAGGCGGAGGCTGCAAAGGAACAAGTAAGAGGTTTATTCCAGGCTGAAAAGAGAAGAAAGGAAACACCGTGGAGCGTTCTTCAGGTGTCAGGTATTACTTCATTTTAAAAGTGTTGAGCGTCACCAGAAAAGGAGTGGCTTCCGGACCCAGAATCTCCAGGGGCACGAGACCCGTGGCGTACACTGGAGCTCAGGCTGCAAGTGCCTGGCTTGACCCCCAATTCAATTCGTTTTTATATAGCGCCTTTCACAACAAGGTTGCCCCAGGGCGCTTCACAAAGTGAATACCGAACAGAAAAGACCAGGAGACAACGGAGGAGAGGAACCGAAAACCCCCAGGCACCGTACTGTACAGCAGACCCAACCTGCCGTCAGCTCTGCTCCCTCTAACGGAGGACGTGGAAAAGGGAGTGGAGCGCCCAGGTGTTCTGTGAAAGACGCCCTGGCTTTCCTTCACTCTCCGTCATGGAGGAGACGGATGGTGCCTGTCACCCCGAGCTTTGAGAGACAGGTCAGCTCTGCACAGAAATCCCAGGGGTGTGCCAAGGAGGAGGGAGCCAGTCTCCCGGGGCTGCCTGCTGCCAGTGTGACCCTGTACAGCTGCCATCCCAGCACGACCACCAGACCTGATCTCTCCCACTGGGGTTAAACCAGCACACCAGCAGAGGAGACTGACGGACAGAGGGCTGATGGGGGTGGAGAGCTACTGGGACAAGACAGGTGCTTCCCAGCAGCTCTGGGGCAAGGAGCCAGAGGTGGTGTGCGTGGGAGATCAAATATACCACCACAGCATCCGCAGAACTCACATGCCACAGGTGCCTGGAAATTGCCTCTGCTCATCCAGGCACCTGAGCAGGCTCTCCTGAACTGCGTTACCACAATCACTGGCATCACCTGGAGCTGCTCTGTTATTAATCTACATGACCTAAACTCCTGGAGTGAGGATACTGGACCTCAAACAGATCAGTAGGTCCAGTAAAATTCCATTCAGGTACAAAAACATGCAGATAAACAAGAACAAGATAAACCATTTAAAAACTGAATAATGTTGTAATGTGTAACGTTTCTTTATTAGCCCCTATACAATTTCTTGCATTAGGAATTCGTCTTTTCGCATACCCCAGCTTTTCTCCATGGAGACACAGACAGGGAGAGAAGCTGGGGGTCAGAGCGCAGGGTCAGCCATTGTACGGCGCCCCTGGAGCAGCTGGGGTGAAGGGCCTTGCTCAGGGGCCCAACGGAGTAGGATTCCTCTGCCGGCCGTGGGATTTGAACCGGCAACCTTCCAGCCACAGGCGCAGATCCTGAGCCACAGAGCCAGCGCTCCGCCCCCAATATACACGCTCAAAAGGGTAAGATGTCCGTGCTGATGCACTACGATCTCTTTGCACTGCTAAGCTGCTCAGAGTCCATTCTCAATTAAATGCTGGGTACGGTATTAGGATTAGTGGAAATCGTGTAGATTTTCCCAG